GTGATAGCATTTGTTGTTTTCTTGGTGCATGAGGCTGCCATCGAAATGAAATACATTTGATGTGAAAATGCCGGCTTCAAAACAGAAAACAACGTGATATCCTGGCTCAAGTCCATAGAACTTGTAAAAATATTTCCAAGTTGGTCCACAGAAACCAACAGTTTGACCTGCAACTATCAAAAGGTCAACTTTCATGATTTGTTGCCCAACATTCAACACAGCAACATCACAAATAGAGTAATTCAAATATTTCCAGTATTCGGAAGTGATAATCTGCACCATAATATCAACTGATTAGAAAAATTTTGATGGGAGTATGCCTTTAAAGCAGCATTATAAATTTTGATTTTGGTATTTGTAGACCAAATTGTTTTTAAGCCTTTTTTTTTTTTTACTGAAAAACAATAGTTTCGCATCAAATTCATTTTACAGTTATAATATGTTGTTCTTCTTTTTTTTTTCCTCAATTTACCTTTTGTTTCATATAACCAAAATCAACCAAGAACTAAAACAAGTTTACCTACAAGCTAAAACCACAATGATGTCCTACGACTTTAAATTACAGTTATTTTGTATGATAATGATTTGTTTTAGAGTCCCATATCTATCATTTCATACTTACAGTCACAAGAAAGAAAACATTAACAAAAGATAATATTATGTTAAACTGTCAAATAGTGTAAAAACTATGGAATTATTAAACTACACTTAAGACGATGATGAAGTATGGCTAGAAAAGATTGAATGGCCTTCAACCCAACCATACAAGAAATCATATGAGTTTTTAATAAACCCCCTCTCTCCCCCTGCTGCTATCACCCTATGTCAATTCATAAATATAAAAGATGGAAAGTATGTATAATTAAAAGGTAACCTAGAGCAAGGTAGAAAATTTTTATAAGCGGAATTATATGATATCTTTCCATATTAGTATTCCTAGATAATAAAACAAAGTGCATATGTAATCATAAGAAAAACATACTCTTTTTTTAAATAAATAAATAAATAATACATGTGATACCTGATAGAGAAAAATCACACTATTGAAACCTGAAATGGGGATAAATATTAACTCTAAAGTACCAATTCCATTTTAATTTGACAGTATCTATAAGCGTTTTGATTCTAATAAACTTAAAAGGGATATGATTTGGGCAATATTTAAGAGAACAAAGTACTTAATATCAAATATGTGTGATGCAAATATCTAATTTGAATAAAAAGATTTTAAAATTGAAATAACTTTTTGTCAAAATTTAACTTGTAGGGAATTATAATTTTCACGATTGTGGTGATTGACTACATAATGTTGCCTAGGCAATAATGAAAAAAGAGGGTATGAATGTGAATCATATATTAGGACGGGTATAAATAAAGTATTTTTTTTTTTAATTTGTAGGAAAGAAGAATTTTCTTTAACCAACTTATTTCGTAACAGAGAAAAAAAGCATTCACGACAAACCATAGAGAAAGCTTACAAGTCTTAAGGTATTGAGACAAAAATTTTATTTTTCTCCTCAATGTTTTCGTAGGCACATTCAAAAATATTATTCTATAAAAAATTTCTTTCTCCCTAGAGGAATAAAAAAGAGAAAGAAAAAGTTGAATGGCATTTTAAAGTGAAAAAAACAAACACTTTGTCCATCATTACAATAAATTTAAAATTAATATATTTTAAAATAGATATATTTGAGACAAGATAAATGATTTTATACATAAAAGATAAATGACTGTATGGATAAATAAAAAAAATGAATAACTGTGTCAAAATAACTAATTAAACAATAACAAATTAGTATGAAAAATTTTTAAGGAAGAATAAAAAGGATTGAATGATATTTTTCCTCTCCGTAACAATATAAATTAAATATATCAAAAACTAAATAGAATATTAAAAAAAACGAACGACTACTTAAATGACTAAGAAAAAAAAGGGTAAACAACAAAATAGCTAGTAAGTTTAGAACGAATAAAAGAATTGATAATCACAAGAGGAAAAATAAGATGCTTCTATTATTACCCACTTAATTAGAAATTTCTAAAATGCTCAGAGTTAGGAAAAAGATAAGTAATAAATGACAATGCAAGATAACAAAAAGAAATTAATAAAAAATTAAGACATTTAAATTAGATGAAAATTTTGTCCAAAATAATAAAATTTATAGGGATAGTAATTAAATTGAAAAAACAATATTAATAATACTTTTGTAATTTAGAAGAAGATTAGCAATTTATATTGGGGACAAGTATTTGACTGGGTGATACAACCATTGAAGATGTCTTAATTATTTTTTATAAAAATGTGTTTTTATTCCTTATTTTTTATGATTACATTGTTCATAATCACAATAACATATTAGATTGTCTTAATTTAACACGATCAAGCCTTTTTTCTGCTAAGTTCACATGATTAAACAACACATATTTCAAGGGTATGCTCCCTATCTCTATTTTTTTTTGTTTTTACAGGCATGGATAAATGGCTATCATTTACGTCCATAACAGTAATTTTCACCTTCATTATCGATTTACTTTCTCTCTTGAAACTACCAAAAAACTCTTATCTTACCAAATTGACCGGCCAATGCTTTCCTAAACTATGATAGGTGATATTGCAAGTTGTTTTTTTCAGCTCCTTGAAGTTTTAATTCACTTGATGGTTGACTGAATTGATCCATTTAATCGGGTTTTTAATCTGGAACGGTTTCACTTCTCAGGAGTATTCAGTGAGCGGTTAAAGTTGGTCAGTAATTTGAAGAACTCATGACCGGAATCCAAAACTATAGGTCTTCAATTTTTATTTTTTTTTTGTAAAACTCCAGGATTAGACTTTTTCACATTCTCTTTTCGCTCTACTTTTTTTTTTCTTTTAAAAATTAGATGGCCTCAGCGAAAATTGAACTCTCAACCTCCTGAAAATAATCATTCCTCATTCTAATCCCCTAATTACCCCACCCAACCCTCCCACCCTCTCTTTTCATTCTACTTAAATACACATTGTATTGCATGATAAGAATACAAAAAAAAAAAAAAAAATCTTCCGTGGCAATCATGCAGGTTTGGTCTTCGCATGTATCCACATGTTTAAAACTTTACCCTCTTATTCAAACTGAGTCTTAGGGTGATTGTCTAATGTGTCAGAAAAGTAAAATAACATATAATACCTGGTTTTCGAAATAATTATGATATAATTATTTGATTTTTGCCTTTTTAGCGATAAACAAGAAGACTGTAAATATTTTCCTTTTTTCTTTTTGTCCTATTTGCTGAAAAAAAAAATCAATATATATGAACAAGATGCCAGCAAGAGAAAAACTAAATTGTTTTTCTACTTTCACATAAACGTTAATCTTAGGTGACAATTGTTCCGAAATTCATTTTATTTCACATCTAAAATACATGTATAAAGTTTCTTTCACTCTGGGTGATGCAACAAATAAGGGCAAGTTCGTTTTGCTTGACCATTATATTAAGAACATCGTTAACACCACGTGCAAAAGTCTTTTGGAATCCATGCCAAAAGTACTTTTAGAAACTCTGAAGTTGGTGGTTGAATTACAACAAATTTAACTGTCCCAGTGTGAATTTATTTTAATAGATCTAATTGTAATAGAATCATGAAGAGGATGAGATTCGGGAAGAGTTATTCCATTTGGTAGGCAAAACATCACTTTTTAAGTTTGATATCACATTTAGAAACCCATAGAAAACAATATCAACAATATGCGATAAAAAAAAATCCTCCTCCTTCCAAAAGGAAACAATGATTCATCATAGTTAATATTGTACACATTAATTTTTATCTTTACAATATTTCAAAGATATTTACATCCAAATAAAAAAATTTATTTACACTTTTGATATTTTTTTGATGGATAATAGAAGTTTACTAATTTTTAAGTTTTTCCACTATTTAAATAATTTTGATATTTCAATTTATAATAAAATAAATACCTTTAACCAAACTCTTTAAACATTATTGGCACTTATATTCTTCTAAAATTTACTATTTACGCCAATTATTACTGAAAATTTTCACCACCCATGCAACACATAGGCCACCAATTCTTGATATTTCAATTTACAAATATCTATACTTTTTTTTTTTGGTAAGAGGTGAAATATATTGAATATAAACAAAACTGTGACATATTTACAACCTCAGCCCAAACTGTCTTATCCTAGATCTCAGATTTTTTTGGTACAAAAATCTATACTTATCCCAAACCGTCTTTACATTATCGATTGTTCAATCTGAAATCAGATTAAACCCTCAAATCTAGATAAGTTGTGACTACTGCATAATCACGTGATTTGGGACAATTGAGGAAGTAATTGAATAATTTAAATTTCAGTGGAAGTTCCTACATTAATTTGGTTTTTTTTTTTGGTACAATGAAGGAGACTAATGCCTAAAGTACTAGAACAATAAACAATCATATTTTCTAAAACTATCAATAGAAACAATGAAACTCGCTACAAAGGACAAGTGATATTCACAATATTATAGTTGTCCAGCCCAATTATTATACCTGGTCTTGGAATCTCCCATGCTCACACATTATAGTGACAGTTGAGCAATATTCGTGCTTAATGAAACTCACTATAAAGGACCAGTGATAATCACAATATTATAGTTGTCCAACCCAATTATTATACAAGATCACTCTCTAAACTTTATAACATTCCTGGTCTTGGAATCTCTCATGCTCAAACAGTATAGTGACAGTTGAGCAGTATTTGTGCTTAATGTGGTCCCTTTTTTAAGTACTAATCAAATTCAAATTTTCCAAACAGGACAAAAAAATAAATTTCAAAGGTGTCTAATCAAAACAACAAATGGGAGCAGATCATGTCGTAGAGAAATAGGATGTGTTTGATTTTATAAACTAACAGGAAAAAGATTATAACCAAGTAAGGGTAAAAGTGCGTAAACATTTATTCATCAAAGAAATTTCATCCAGTTAAAATGATGGAACTATACAATCATTTTTCCATTTTTATACGAAGGGTTCACATTCGAATTCCACATCCATGCCATCTACCAAGCTCTCAACATCCAGTGTGATAGTTAATTGAGTACCGATGGGTATGTTTGCTCGGATTCTGAATAGTTCCCAATCACCGTAAATGTACATTGGTAATATTCCAATGTTCTCATAATCATGGTCCCTTTCATCTTTGCGTAATGTCATACATGTATGGCGACCCTTGTAGGTCAACCAACAATTCGATGTAGTCATCAAATTATGGCAGAGACTCAAATATCTTGGGATCATCTAAAAATATTAATAAAAACAGTGGTTTCAATGCCTAATGAAATGAGCCAATATGATTTGTATCAATAACTATAAAAAAAACACAGACAATGAAAATGATAAGATAGTATATATTACCACTCTCGATGTATGGATAGTTTCTTGATCGAGACGGTGTGTGAAATAATCTTCCCCTATTATTGGAAGCTTGTGAAAACTTCCTATGTTGTTACCTAGGAAAAATGTCAAAAAATTATTAGTGTTACTATGTGTGCACAATTATTGCCCACACACTTGATTGTTTTAATTAATAGTGGAATTTATGTGTATGATTCAGGTTTCATGAATCAATCTTATGATGGTTACTCCTTAATGTAGTTAAAGCAGGTGATGTCAGAACATTACATGTATTTGTTAACAGACATGACACTCACATGAAATCCTAATCTTTTTCTTAATTACATAGATGTTAAAAAGCAAATCGAAGGAATTCTTAGTAAATTGATTTACCAGCCAAGTGATAACATTTGTTCCTTTCTTGGTGCAAGAGGCTGCCATCGAAATGAAAGACATTTGATGTGAAAATGCCGGCTTCAAAACAGAAAACAATGTGATACTCTGGCTCAAGTCCATAGAACTTGTAAAAATATTTCCAAGTTGGTCCACAGAAACCAACAGTTTGACCTGCAACTGTCAAAAGGTCTACTTCCATGATTTGTGGCCCAACCTTCAAAAGAGCAACATCACAAGTAGAGTAATGCAAATATTCCCAATATTCAGAAGAGATGATCTGCACCAATAATATCAACTGGTTAGAAAAATTTCTTCTTATGCCTAGTTATTAAATTCCTATTTGTAACAGAAAAGTTTTGATTGTTACATGTATAATGATATCATTATTAAGTTTGGATTTTCATACCGCACATGAATACGATTCCTGACCAACTCTGTAATGATAACAAATACTCTTTAGGCCCATGATATGTGAATGTAGGAGGCCGACTTGACAACCATTCTTTCCAAAATTAGTTGTGATGAGTTCATAATTGTCCTTCATTATGAAATGAATGAAGGACTGCTCTGTGATTCCCATACGATCCATGTACACCATGAGTGTGTCACCATACATATATATTCTGTGGTTTCGAGTCATTCGGAGCTTCACCTGAAATTTTCCTAGTGGAGTTATTAACAGTATGGTGTTTTCGAGGTGTCCAGTGAATGCTCTGCTGAATATTCTTGATAAAACCTGTTTGAAACAAACAATCAAATGAACGGTTTTGTACATGTTGGTTTCATGTATCCATTGCGGAAAATATACATATTAATATCTTTTGACGGACTTACCAAACCAATGTCGCGGTAAGACTGTGGTACTTCGTGGAGATATTGAGATGACCGACTCATGGTGACTCTTGAAAATAGAATAATGGATTGCATAATGTTAGTCACTGTAGTAATTCTCAGTTGTTGAAGCTACAAAATTTGTAATTTGTTTGTAAAAAGTAATCAATACTGATCTTTTCAGTTTAGAATATGAAAAAGTACTCTTACCCTCTCTAGTTAGAATATTGGTTGCGGAAAGAAATTTACTATGGATATATATATATATATATATATATATATGAATGAAAATGATTAAAACTAAGCACGGAATGTTTAATATTCTCTAAAGTGACATAAAGTCAGCAAACCGATTTAATCAATTTCTAAACAACTACATACAATAATCTATGTTGTGGTTAATGTAAAACCTTAATGTCGGCAAACTGAAGATGGTAAGAGAAGTTAACATAGTGATTCTCATAAATAGCTAGTAATAGTGACTCTTTCTAATGAAGGGAATTTCAGTTTCTTCATGACAAAACCAAAGTTATGATGATTGCAAACATTAATGATAGCACAAGCGTACCTTGATAAAACTTCTGATAGCAAAGGAAGGACAATCCTTGGCTTAATCCAATTACGATCAGGATCCGAGTAGTTTTTCATGACCTGATCCAAGACAAGATGTATAAGATTCGATAAATGTGGCCCTACACATTATATCCAAAATTTTTACTCACCTCCTTGCCAATCTTTAGCAAAGCTTGTGTGTCCTGGTTGCTAAACCACTCGAGTTTACAGGCAGACTGACAAAAAAAAAAAAAAAGAAGAGAAGAATATGAATGAAGAGAAGTAAAACTAATAAGAATGGGAGACGTAACACATGATGCGACAACACATATTGTTAGTATTTCATTAAGTATATATACGAGTCAAAAAACTGCATCAAGAGATTTTACAAAGCAAGATAATGTCAAACATATCATGTAAATGTATAGCCGACCCTACAAAGTGAATTAAAGTCCTTTATCCATGAATTGAGTGCTTTTTACCATAAGTTTGTATTAGAATTGATCATGCAAATTCCAAGTCATGGGTACTTCAGTTACATGCATTTTACTATTGCAATTGGAGCTAATAAATAAACCTAGAATTGCAATACAAGCACTTATTACCTGGATAGACATTGTAAGCACCATTAAACCTACTAAGGAAGGACCACCTTGACAAGCGATATACTGCAAGATACTTGATGTTAAAATGTTTCACCAGAATACATAACAAAATTTAAACCTAATAAAAGAATGCACCAAACACCACATCATTGACAATACATAACACGAAGGAAAGAGGAAATATATATAATTTGCGCTTTCAAGTAGGTTGAAGGAGTGCAAAACCCTTGCTTTATTGGAGTTTCCATAACTTTTAAGGGTTGAACATTGATTACCTCCCTCAGCATTAGTGCTAGGAAATGAGATCTTCTTGGAACCTCACCATGCCTTATTGCAAACTCAATAACTCTGCGGGAAAACACCAAACAACATTTGATTTTACTTGAGACCATTGATTTAATAACCAACAAACCAAGTAGGATGCAACAATGGTGTAAGTGAGGAAATTTCTTTTTAACTCAATTTTAACTTGTTTTAGTTTAACAAGTTCTATGTTTATGAAGGAACTCAATTTCAACACCATGTTTCCTCTCTCTCTCTCTCTCTCTCTCTCTCTCACACACACACACACACACACACACACCCCCCCACACACACACACAAAAAATTCTCGTGAAAACAGCAACAAAGTGAGATTCTTTCAAGTTTATTATGACAAAGATGACATCCTTCACATGTGGTAGATACAAGAATCTGTTACGTTGAGAATCCAAATCGAAAAACATGAGGATAACACAAAAAAAGGAAAAGAGAGAGAGAGAATTCATTTTTACTTAGCCACGGAAATGCAGAGCTTGACGAAAACATGGGAACTAATCCCATCAATTTCTCCAGTTGCAAAATGAGTAGTCACCGATTCCAGTCTATCTGTCAAAGCCACCTCATCATCACCATTTCCGGCGGTGCTGCTTGATCCCCTCCACTCCATTTCTTTCTTCTTCTTCTTTTTCTTCTTCTTCTTTTTTTGTCCCTTGATGCTTTTGTTTTTTTATACTTCAGAAAGATAGACCTCAGAGCAGAAAAAGCTGAATCAGATAGTCCAAATTCACACAATCTGAATTTGTTGGAATTGTGCAACGTATTAAGCCACCCCCTGATGGCCTGACCCACCACAAAATTTCTGCCTCATTTAATGACCTTCTTTGTAAATATATCAAGTTTAATTCATAGAAAGAGCTTATGAGGAAATTAATCAAATTGGTTTCTTTGTATTACCTGAATCCAATCTTCTAATTCAATTCACTCCAATTCTTCACCGAGGTAAATAAGGAAATTTGTATCCTCTAAGATTGCATAGTTTTAACTATATCATTAATCACTTTTTTTGGGCAAAATATCATTAATCACTTATTAGTCATAACTCAATGAAATTATTTACTCAAAAAATATATGTGTACATTGGGCGACACAAATAGTCACCTTTGGAACAAACATTTGTACACTATAGCCACACATTTTGTCATCGTTTAAAACAATTTTTGGGTAACATAAATCCCACGTAATTCTTACTACGCAACAAAGCAGGTTGAATTTGAACCTCAAGTTTTTTGAGGATTAGCCATTACTTGTATATAATGTGTATAACTTTTTACGTTACGACTATCTATTTATCTTTTATGTCTTGTCGTATCAGTTAATTAGCTGTTATGTTATTCGTTCACATGTTTTGTCCAACAAATTCTCTTATGAAAACTGAAAAACAATCAATTGTTTAAATGATCCATACTGATTGAAATCTCTAGACGGAAAAAATAAAATTGATTAATCTCCGAACAGAAATTACCGTACAAAATTTTGAAAATGATTGAAAATATAGATTTTGGAGTTTGTTAGCTTTTTCATCAGTTTTTCTAAATAAATGTTGACACTCACAAATTCCACAAAAAGATACATGCAGTTCATTTCATGTCGATAACAATATTTAATCAACAAATAAAGAATTAAAACTTTAATTATAGAAAAATCAAGTTTGATTTTCTTTTTTTTTTTTTAGGCATTGTGTTTTGTGTCGCTCCTGGTCATTTTATAAAAGCTAACAACCAAACTGAAAATTGGAATAATATCAATGTTGGACTGTTTTTCATAAAAAATTGACATTAAAATTTACTACACTCCGTGTTATATTAACATGTATTGACATTTTTGTTACCTTGTTAAAATGAACGAATACATGACAACAACTAAATTTGCCTAAGAAAAGTAAAATATATAAACTATGTAACTTATCTATAATCTTTGAAATTTAACCGAATTTTAGAAATCAATTAACATTAAATAATAATACTTTTTGAAAATTTTTAAAATAATACAACATAATGGATTTTGGGTTTCATTGACTTGTTTGTTGGTTTTCTAAGTGGACTAAAAAGTCGATGCTAACATTTTTACTGTTAATAATAACTTCTTCCTTTGTTCTAAATTTATGGTTCATTTGGATTCATTTTTAATTCAAACTATATTAAACTAATAATCCAAATTGGAAAATCATTTTAGTATGGAGAGAATTTTTTTTTGTAATAAAATGTAGGCTAGATAAAATTAAATCTTATTACTTTGGGGGAAAAAAAAAACCTGTATACTTGCTGATGAACTAAAATTTCAATTTTTAACCCCATTATGATGGGAAATAGAGTATTTTTTTTAAAAAAAAAAAAAAAGAAAAAGGAAGGAGAAGAAACATTAATAGTGCCACAAAAACAAAAGAATCATTTTTTTATGAGATTATACGTTTTTTGTTCTATAACTAGTCCTGACATTATTAGCAAACAATATACTGTCTCTTTTTTTTTTTTTGCTTATAATAATGTACTCTCTTTATTTCAGCTTAATATGTAGTTGGTTTTTTTACTTATAAAAGTAAGATGATAAACATATAACACACTAAAATGATTAGTTGAGAAAGTGACTTCTGGCACCACAATTATAATTTAAAACCCCAAAAGAACCAGCATAATGATTTTAAGTAACTAGGATGAAAAATCAAATAAATGGTTTCAAATACAAGTTCTCCATATTAATGTCTTATAACACTCCAGTATCTTCTAACCTCGTTTCCGAAGAAGCAAAAGTTAAAACCAATGTAATAAATTATACCAACCCAAAAAACTTATAGAGTGAAGTCCCTTGTTTTAGTTGATGATCATCTTCTGCTTCAGGATGATTCTGTTCCGCTTTCGTCATCACTTTAAGAGAATGGAAACAAAGAGAAAAGGAGAAACATAGTTTAGGCGCCATGTTTTTTCATTCAATAATCCACGAAAAAAAATATAACTCAACGAAATGAACTATTTTTATTGTATAGAGAAAATAAATATTTGCCCTCGAGCAACTGAGGGAAAAAACAATTAACAAACCTTAACTCGGGCAAACTGGGTAAGTCCCTGGTTTGGTTTTCCGGAGTACTTTGATCTGTTTGATAGGTAAAATATCAGCAACAAGAAAAAATTAATCAAGCCTTAAAAGTTGACAAATGTCAGATTTCACTTAGTGGAGATAAAAACTTATTAGTTCTTGTTGTTGTCCTAAATTAACTTCAAAATGGTTTGACTTACCAGAATCAGTTGAAGCAGAAAAGCCAACATTGTCTGGCAATTGCGAGTCAGAACACGATTCGATTCCACTTGTGACAGCAAGGACAACAAGAAGATCACCTGTTGAATTAAGTGGGAGTGAATTCCTACCAAAATGAGAATACAAGAATGGAAAAATATTCCAAAACAAATTCTTTAACAAAGGTCATAAACTTAATGTTAATTACTGGATACATTTCTTCTAAAGGATCATTACCAGTAACTTGCCCAATGGCTTGCAGACAGTTAACACCAAGTTTAAGCATGGTAGTCACATCAGTTGGAAATGGTCTCATTTCATCCCGCAACTGAGTGGCACAAGCCAAAAAAAAAAGAAAAAAAAGGACCAATTTAGGAAACATGCTTTCACCAAAATCAACAAATGGAGTTTCAATGAATGGAAATAGAGAAGTTATACCAATGAAAGAGTAGTTCTTCCTTCAACATCATTGCCATTGATCTGAATGCTACAACATCAGAAAACAAATTGTCATACAAAAAACTTACAATATGGAAATGTAAACCACAACAAAAACACAAAAAAGCTCTACATATCATACCTCACTCCTAGTGGAATGAAAGTACACATCGATGTTCTCAACTGGTCCATTTGAATCGTGAAAAAGCTCTGCATGAAAATGGGAAAACGCGTTACTGTGCAAGAGAAATTCGACAAAATATATAGCATGGATTCTTTGAATTTGAGTGAGATTATTAGCATCGATTGCAGCTATATCAATGATCATAACGCATGTATATCATGGAAATGAATCATTAATATAAGATATGCAGGATTAATACGGCTAGGATTTCCATAGTTAAACATGACTTCAGGAACATATATATATATATATATATATATATAATAAATGTGGGGAAAAAAGTAACTTACTATCTTGTCACGACCTGGAGAAACTGTTAATTTAGTTATTGGTACGCTAGCAACACAGAATCTACAGCCAGGCTGCAATAACAAAGCACAATACATTAGCAATTGTAATGTTGTTTTCAGAATGACCATTAACAACTAGAAAACATAGTCTAATGAACTTGCCTGGAGCAACACGGAAAATAGCATACGGTCAATCTTTGTGTTTGGGCAATACCTATAGAGGTGAGACCAGCGCATATATATGGTACGTGATCAGAAAATATCATTACTTATATGATCCATATTCATGACTCTTAAATTTATTTTATTTTTTTTTGAAAATTAAAGGTACTTGTATATTAATTAAGAAAAGATACCTATGCTATTACAATGCATTCTATTATATACTATATTATGATGCTTAAACTTATTTCCGTACTTTTCACATTTCTACTGCACTACAAGAACTTAAAAATTGTTACAATTATAAGTGACTTTTACCTTGATGTGACTAGTGATAGCCAACAAAGGGCATGCCTTGGTCCAACACAAATCTGGTCAGGATCCGAGTAGTTCCTTATGACCTGATCCATGACAGAATTGATAAGCTGTGTGTAATCTCACTATATATATAGTATATACAAATATCCTACTCACCTCCTTGCAAACCTTTAGGAGATCTTCTGTGTCTTGGTTAGTAAACCACTCAAGTTTGCAGGCACACTGACAACAAAATGGGAAGAATAAGAATGAAGGGAAATCAAACTAATAAGAATTAATGGGACCACATGAATATTGTTGGTGTTACATGAAGTATAATCCACATCCAGTGTTAGAAAGGTATAAGCAGGATAATACAGAACATATCATCTATATAGCCGACCCTATTACACACAATGGAATAAAGTTGTCAATTATCCATGATTTGCATGATTCGCTCTAAGTTTGATTAAGGCTCAAAAATACAAACTGCTCCAGAAGCTTTACACTAGAACATTGAATGAATGAACGGTTTACTCCAAAGGATGTGTACTTAGACTAGCTAGTTATAAATTAGTGATACATGTGAAAAGAAAGCCTTCACTTCCATGAAACAAAAGGAACTAGGACAGAATTTTTAAATGTCGGATGTCAAGGGATCATAAAAGCTCGTTTATATATAAGTTTACATGAGCTACACTATTGCGATTTTGGCTTGCTAATAATAATAACTAATTACATTAGCACTACTCATAGAAGTATTTATTGCACACTGAAAAATTAGTAATAACAATCATTTACATCCATTGAACAATGGCTTATTTATTACCTGGACAGACAAGGTAAGCATCATTAAACCTAGTAAGTAAGCCTCATTCACACGAGCTTGATACACCTGCATCATTGATATTTCAAAAAAACAGCTAATAAATTGTTTAAATATTTCAAGGGGCTTTCCAGGGGAATATATTGTAGGCTTTCGAGGGGTTTCAAGTCGTTTAATGTAAAAGCCCTAGTTTTAACAAAATTTCCAAAACTTTTAAGAGGAGTGACAATAGATTACCTGAATCAGCAATGGTGGTAGCGACCGAGCTCTTCTTGGAACCTCATTATTTGCAATTGCATAATCAATACCTCTGTAGACAAAGAACCAAACAACATTGATTAACAATACAAAAGTGACGGTTTTGTTTTGGTTAATCAATAATACTCCCTCTATTCCAAAGTTCTTGTCCAGATCAAATTTTTATTTTTAGCTCAGTTTATACTAAAAATAAAAAATCTAAACTGAATAATAATTTTTGGATAGAGGGAGTACAAAATTAACCATGGATTTTATGAACAAGTAAAATTATCAACTCCATCCACGTTTAATTACTTAAGTGCCTCCTTCACACACACACACACACACACACACACACACACACACATGTTTACATTAATCAAACTCACCATTGTTACACTGAAAATAAAATTGAAAACAAAGAGAAATTCAATTGAAAACATGGATTCATTATTTACTTAGCCATGGAGGTGCAAAGCTTAGTGAACTCTTCAGAACTCATCAGAAACAGTTGATGAGCTGCCAAATTTGTAGCCATCGTCTCTGCCGTTTCGGCAACCAGGATGGATGCTGCACCACCCTGAGCATCCGGCAAACCTACCTGATCACCACCATTTTTGGCGGTGCTGCCGCTGGATCCACCCTCCATGTCTTTTTTGTTTTCTTTCTTCTTTTTTCTTTGCTATGAAAAAGTTTTGGTAAAGCTAGACTAAAAGAAAAGGTTAGATATTTGAATGGGGGAATTGTCCAAATTCACACCGCTTGAGTTTGTTAGAATCACGCAAATGTATATTACATCATCTATCATCTATGCATGTCATCCCACCTGAATTTGTCTTTCTCATTTAATGATATGTTCTTTGCAATTTTTTATTTAACTGAATGGCTTATTGAGGAAATTATTCTCAAAGTCAATGAATTTGATGTTTGGTAGTACCTGAATTCAATTCTATTCTTCTTTTAGACCGACTTAATATGGAAATAAATAATATTGTGTTCATTGATTCTGTTTTGCCTTCTGCGTGGGTTCATCATTTGCTCCTCTAGAATCAAGATTGAAATACATTAATCTATATAATAAATCAATCAGGAGTCAAAAACTCATAATTCAGTAAAATAATTGCTCACATGCTATATGCATGTAAAGTGACAAAATTATAGTAACATACTTTTGACAAATGTATACACAAATAGACACGTAATGGTTAATGCATGCGCCACTTGGTAGTATTTTTTCTTTTTTCTTTTTTTTTTTTTGTTTTAGTAACCATAAGCAATTATTCTTGAAACGTTATTTATTCATTTGACAATATGATGAAAGTACTAAACTACTAATTGCGATATTGCTAATTTTAATCAAGGAAAGATAGTTGTACCATGGAATGGAGGATTGTATTGAGATTTAGTAGTGTAACAGTGTCACGCAAGCAACGTCGTAAGTACTTAAACCATTCGATCGAAAGCTCAGGGCAAAAAAAAAACAAAAAAAAGACTGTCCGTCTCTGTTTCAGCCTACATCATTTCTGGGCTTTTAGTCTTTATTCTTGGATCTTTTTCTTAGAGCCCATTTTTTAGTAAGGGTGACGAATGATATATTCGTTTGTCTTTTGGACCAAAATTGGGCTGTATATATGCTAGAACAGAAATGGACAGTAGAAGTACTACATATTAAACTTAACGGGAATCAAGTTGCGGACTCACTGGCAAAAATAAGCTATTCGAGCCCACACGACATATATATTTTGACAATACCACCAAATATAGTGATAGATAAGTTATCTTTTGATGCTCCTCTTCAAAGAGTTCTTTCTAAAACCAAGCATTTATGCTTCCCCACTAAGGATGTTCACGGACTAGATTGATCCAGATTAATAGTATAAACCGTTCACTACGGTTTTAAAATTTTGAAAATCGTAACCGGATCGGATTGATATCTAAACCGGACCAGTTATGAACGGATTGGTTTGGACAGATTGACGATTTAGGGTTCTAATTGAACTTATCCATTTTGGGCTAAAAATTGAATATTTTTTTGTTATTGGACCGTTTTTTGGCTTTTTTGGGGTTTTTTCTGGACTTTTCCTAAATTGTTTTGGGCCTTTCTAAAATAATTTTTGGGTTTGGTTTGAGGAAAAAAAGGGAGAAAAAAAATTTAGTAATGGGAGAAATTCGAACTCACGACCTCAACCAAATTTAAGAATAAAAAAAAGCAACAAAGCCAATCAAACAACTTAACCATTTCATTATAAGTTATCATCCGCAGCTATATATACGAAATCATTATATTATTATTCAATAAAATATATATGCGGTCCGTTCCGGTTTGGCAATCCGGACCGGTATGACCGATTTTCAAATTTCAAATCCACCAAATTAAAAATTCGCTTATAATCTACCCGCTAATCTAAACCGATAACTGATTAAGGCGGTTCCACTGAATTGAACCAAACCGTGAAAACCCCTATTCCCCGGTATATATTAAAAAAAAGAAAATTGGTTTGTAGATGTAATTCAGTCATGGAATATGCATATTTTGTGGCACTAGCTCACCGAAAACAGTGCATATATGAGAAAAAAAAATACAGGCCAAACTCACTTCCATCCAAAAGGCTCTTTCTTTATTTATGTTATTTTATTTTTTTGGAACATGATCTCAAAGGCATAATAACTACTGTAGTTTGAGTTGCTCATTAAGATATTTTTACGTTTTAACATTATCGTGTGATTGGGTCATTTTGGACTGTTTCATATTGATACCACAACTTTTCCTATTCAAGTCATATAGCATCTACTTTCATAGCTATTAACAACTTGCAAATGATTCTAGTGGGGGAGAAAAGAACCAAATTATATTGAATTTTGTGGATAAGGAATTTGGTTCTATTTTTATCATATCCCACAAGGGTGGTGGTCACATCATTTTGATGTTCAAATAAATCAACAGTTTCTAAATAAATCAACAGTTTCTTAATTATACAATTCTTATAAGTACTTAAACTATAACATAGTTAAGTTTGAATAAGGAAAATCTACTATTAGCCTAGTCTAGTCAGACTCCATGCTTGTAACGTTTCTTGTTGCACGTCCATCCGGGTGCTTAAACATTTTCTTATTGCAACTTACAAGAATTGAAGTTTATTGTCGTGGAACTCGGGTCCTCCGTGTTGATGTCATCAATTATAATATAAAGTACCTAAGTACAACTTGTAAGGTGTCTTTGAGTGGATACCACGCGCTCAAAAAAAAAAGGGTTAAAAAAAAAAGATTTTTTAAATTTTCAATTTCCTAATGTCTCTCCTAATTTACAGTCATCATTAATCGTATTCATCCAACTTCCTATTTCAATCCAAACATGTCTCAAACTAAAAAAATCTAAAAAATAAAATATTTTCTGCAGCGATTTGGCATCGAAACCTCTCATCGGCGGTACTTTTGAAGACGGAATCCGATTGTGCATCAAATCCCGTGAGTTTTCATCTGTTTTGTGTTTTGTTCGGTGAATTTTATTTGAAATTCTCAAAATCTTTGATTGGTAATTTCAAATTGCCAGTTCAAACCCGTTCGATGAATTGTCAGAGGTTTATAGATTTAGATCTCTTGCAAAAAAGAACAAAATTCAGATTTTTTGAACTGCCAGAGGTTTATGATTGGGTTTTAATCTCTTCAGCAATTGATGTGTTTTTTTGATTGGGTTATTTAGATATAAGGTATGTGCATTTGACTATAAATTTTTGTTCATCAATTTTTAAAGCTTTGTTTGTTTAGTTTTTTTTATGATTTTTTTAGATTAATAAAATAATAATTGCCCCATCCCAGCATACTTTTTTATATTTCCTATACATCTTTTTACATTTTCAATATAAAAACACCTAAAAACACACACTAAAAAAATGAAACAAACATACAAGTTTTCTTCATCGTTCTATTGTTGATTTTAGAAAAGACTAATAGATGTGAACATTATTCATTAGTTCGTATTCGATATTTATCCTTGAAAGTAGCAGATTGATCATAATAATTGTGTTATTAGCTGGTTATTCATATTCAGTTTTTTGGTCAGGTTATGTATATCTAAGGTCTCTGTATTCGATTATAATGGTTGTTCACCAATTTGTTAGATTTGTTCATCCACTGGTTGTTGATTTTGAAAGGGTTCTAGATCTGTTCATTATTTATCCTGCCATTATTCATCGATAATAAATGATTATTTATCATAATAATTGTGTTATGCGATTGTTATTATTTTTTCTGTTAATAGTTATTCATCTGAGTAGATAAATGTAACATGTATATTTTGGTCATATACATCCGTAATATTTGGTTATTCATAGATATAGTTATTCATCATGAAAACTATAAGTATTCCTCCTAACAAATTTATGGTCCTAATACACTATATTTTCTGATTTAATAAGTAAAATATGATAATTCATCATACCTGTCAAGGTATTCATCATTGGTAAAATAGTTATTAGTTTAGTATGTAATAGGTATTCATCATACCTGACATGTTATATAGTTTTAATGGTTATTCATCATTTTAAAGATGATTATTCATCTTCAATAGCCTTGTTATTGATGATTAACAGAGTTTTGATTGAATGTAAAATATTACATATTGTAATGTTGTTTTTGTTTGATCAGCAGTAAAAAAATGCTCATCAAAATGAACTCGATCGGTCGCGAATCAAATATTTTGCAAAGTTGCTGAATTCAAACAATCAACATAAACGTGTCGGCGGATCTTTCAAGACCTTATATGTTAAAAACAATGACTAGTTTTCATATTCAATTTTGATATAATATACTACATAATTAGAATTTTGTTAGATTAGTTGCTATTAATATACTTTTGTTAGTTTTCATGATCAAAGTTATTCATTCTGTTGCGCATTATTAATCCACTAACAATATATTATTCATTTATTAAAATACAATCATTCATCTTGCAAAAACTATATATATTCTGCATTTTAGTATTGTTATTCATCTAGGATAAGATCATTATTCATCAAGATTTGCATCGTTATTCATCTTTGTGAATATTGTTACTCATTCATAAATTTACTCGTACATATATCCAGTTTTACCAAAAATAAAATACACCATTTTTAACCAAAAAAAACTTATGAAATAAAATAATATAAAAGCTAATAGGATAATCATTAAAAAAATTAGTTTGAAATTAAATGTATGCTAAAAAAACGGGGATAAAATTTGGATTTAATGCGTGTGTGATATCATAAAATCCAGACTAAAAGTTCCACTTGTGTAGAAGGAGAGTATATTACACATGTCTATGAGATACACCTTGCAAAGTGTATCTAGTAACTTGTTTTTATTTTCATACCCTTTTACCACCTGAACCATCCTTCCTGACAATATCAACGATCGGAGAATTCATGTAAAAAATGAAAGATAGAGAACTTTATAATATCACCCATATCCTAATAAAACTGATTAAAGTAACATATTTTTTTCCGACTTCAAAAAGAAAAACACATATTTTTTTCCCATTTGATGAATTGTGGAAATGAATAGATAGATCCAAAACTGCGTACTTTCCATGTAAGGCCCAACGCGTCTGAGTAAATTTGAAGAGTAGTTTATAATTTAGCCGACCATTGGGGACAACCAGATCCATTAACGCGGCGAATCGTAGCCACGCGCCCAGAACACGTGCAAGGCCCGCCATTAAAGGAAGCTCCGAACACCGGCCCCCTCACACGTGCCCAAAATCCTATATATTCGATCCACACCATTCCCAGCCGACACATGTACGAGGACTGGGTACTACTCATCATCAGTCTAAATTAGATCGATCGTGCCTGAAGATTTGATTTTGTCTTAATTTCTGGTTCTGTTTTGGTTTTGTGAGGGGGGATTTTTTTTCAGTCAAAGGAAGAAAAAACAGAGAGAAAGAAAGAGTAAGAAAATGGAGTTGTTGGACAAGGCGAAAGACTACCTAACGGAGAAGATAGCGAACGTGCCGAAGCCGGAGGCGGCCGTGACGGACGTGGATCTCAAAGGGGTGAGCATGGAGTGCGTGACGTACCACGCTAACGTCTCCGTCAAGAACCCTTACAGCGTTCCCATTCCCATCTGCGAGGTCTCTTACGTCCTCAAGAGCAATGGCCGGTAAAAACTCCTCCTCCTTTTAATTTGATCGTCGTCCTACTTGGGTTTTTTTTTTTGTTAAATTAAATGATTCTGTTTTCCGGGCACCATGGGATCAATCCGGTCTCCTTTTGCACCGATCTGAGGTGTTATTGTTACTAGTATTAGTTGCGTACTAGAGTAATGATTATATATATGGAGTGAATTCAATTGATTCCCGGTTCAATTAGAGACTGATTAAAACGTAACATGATAAAATCGTATCATTCTATTTACAAAAAGGAGCGAATATGTAGTAGTAGACTTATTAATTTCCCAAGGTCATCATTTCTTTAATCGTTTGCGAGGTAGTAATAGCAAATTAGATATTCAATATAACAATACTTTTGTTTTGTTTTGGATTTTGCTTTTTGTTCTACAATAATTACAGCTAGAGAATCATTTGCTTTCTTTACATTAATTAAATAAACAAATGGTAGTATTTAAAAAAAAAAAAAGAAGTTATCATGGTGGGTAGTTATGCACAAGATCATGATGGTTGATACTTTTGACCAAAGCATGTGGATTATATTTATATGACATTTTTGGGCCATTGTTCCTGGTAGAATTGTGATAAAGCGAACCCATTGGGCATGACTAATTATGGTTTCATTTTGCGGGCTTTTGGTTTGGTAACATAAAAAACAGGCAGATTGCCTCCGGTACCATCCCTGACCCGGGCTCACTCAAGGGTAGTGACACCACCATGTTGGTTGTTCCGGTGAAGGTTCCCTACAATGTGCTGCTGAGCTTGGCCAGAGACATTGGCGCTGATTGGGACATTGATTATCAGATCGACATCGGCCTCATCATCGACCTCCCGGTGATCGGAAACTTCACCATTCCCCTTTCTCAGAAGGGTGAGATCAAGCTGCCTACTTTCTCTGACTTCTTTGGTGGTGGTGGTGGTGATAAAAAGGATGCTGAGGATGAGAAGAAGGTTGTCAAGGAATAAAGAAAACACCACTATACACTTGTTAGAACTGTCTTTTTCAGCTGCTTGTAGTGGAACTAATTAAAGTCATTTCTGGCTTATAATAAGATGATGTTTTGAACTTGTATGATGGAAATGTTCCAATTCTCTGGTAGCTTAATCACACAAAATACATCGTATCAAAGTCTTACTAGAATCGTGGGCGTGTTATAGGAAGTGTGACACTATTACACAATGCAGGAAATGATGATGTGCTAATTATAGAGATTCTATTAAGTTGGAGACGACTGGATTCCTGTTCCTGTCCTGGACCCCAAATCCATCTGCATGTTGGTATATGAAATGGGCTACTCTTGCTGCATTTAGTAAGCAGTGCTTGATGGGTTCATGTCCAACAAGGGAATGGCCTTTGATTTTCTTCCATGCCTTTAATATTATTATGCTTTTGATGTGCTCTCTTGCCCTAGCTTCCGATGCATTCGAGTCCATCATATAACAAAACATTGATGAGGCAGCGTCTCTTCTCTCTTGTTCGGTTCGTCCTACACATAATATATGCAACAATCATATCGCAAGTACAAAATAATTAGCAGTCGACATCTAATTAATTTCAAATGAATTGATAGAAATTTGCATTCGGCACAAACGATTTTGGAAATTTACTCATATAAATTGATATGGAATATAATGATAATTTTTATGAAGTACACACCGTGGAAGTTCCTTGATCGTTGCACAAACGTATGATTAAGAAAGTATGGTAAATCAAGTCCTTATTATCATCGAAAATTTCCGAGATGGTTTTTATTGCTGGAGTTTCTATTCCGAAAATTATATGGAGAGAATATAAAGGACCAGATGAAGATATGAAAGCATTATCTAAGTATTCTGCGAGTGATGGTGTGTAGCCCTCATTTTCCCACTTTACTTCCAACAGCGAGGATTGACAAAAGCTTCCCCGCTACACAAAATACACAAAAAGAAGAATGACCAAACACAAAATCAACGGATGTAAAGAACCTTTGATTTTTCCATCTCAAAATTATTTTTCACTTGTTGTATAAAAATATTACAATAAATAAGACAGACAATTTAGAACGGTAGAAGTATTAATTAAAGGGGCAAAAAAAAAGAAGGAAAAGAAACTAGAATATATAGCTGTTTAAGTAATTAAGTTTCTTAAAGATTATATTGCAAGTGATCTTTTACCTGTCTACAGCAATGGTGAAGCGTTCCAAGTCCTCAAATGAACCATAGATATCATAAACATCATCAATTATGAGGACCAACTTAATGGCTTTGCTTAGCCATTTTCTAAGGCTTCCATGCTCAGGCTCATATGCCACTCCACCTGCATATAGAAAACTTTGTACCATTCTATTCCTAGAAAAGCTCAACTTTTGACTGATCCCAAGTTCCATCCACCACCTACACAAAGGGGAAACAACATTAGCGAAAAGTGAGTTTGAAAAACCGGAATTAAATTGTTGTCTCAAAGAAACAGGCACAAGTTTGACATGATTTTTCATTAAAAAAAAATGATTTATTGGTCATAGTTTTGGGAAGACAGTTTAGGTATATTTGGTGTTTTCATAATTTTAGGTGCATGAATTCTAACTAATAAGAACTCATATGCAGCTGGATTGTTATGGCTTTTATACTTGTTACTTGTGTACATGTTTTATGAAAATTGTAGGTGCACCGTTATACTCGTTACAATATATTTATATTTATTCTATTTTATAATAATTATCCAGTTTATTATATTAAAAATATTATAAAAACTAGTAACTCGTTTCGCGATAGAGGGAATTTCACTTTACAGTGGGAAAAAAAAAACTTTGTTCATGATTTTCTTTTTTTGAAATGGAAACTTTGAAAATGTAAGTGGGGAAAAGAATTTCACCTTGATATCTCCTTGAGATTCTTATGATGTGCAGCTTGAATATTGAAATTAAGCCTTGCCAATTGCAATAGCTTAGGGTTTGTCTTTCCCTTTTTTTCTAGGCAAGGATATGTTTCTTGAGATTGAACCAATTAGCTGTCCAATGCAAAGGAAGAACATTAATTGAATCAACACACCCCAGCTTTTGAGTGCAAAATCGTCTGGCCTCATCCAATATATTCTCTCCTTCACATCCCACATTCGAGACTTCGAAGAGTTCAATCAACGGTTCAAGATTGAAAGTTGCACTTGGCTTGAATTTTCCCGCTTCATTCACGAATCCTTGAAATAATTCTGACAACACAATTGTTGATTTTGAGTTGCATGTCCAAGTTCTTAATTATCAGCATTCAACGAATTGCGTTTGTATATACACTTCATTGCGCACATATTGCATATGCATTGAGCAAATTACTCTAGATTTATTCCCTCCCACCATCCGTTTTGGATTTGCATTTTATGTATAAACTGAACAAAAAGTGAAATTTTAAATCGGATAAATCATTTTGAAAAAGCAAGAGTAGTACGAACCTTGGGATGCCTCATACCCAAATTGCCTGAGAAGCCTAAAGCCAAGTGCCGTAGCATAAAGATCATGGTCATCTATGCTCGAACCGAAATACTCGTGGGGGGATCTACTTATGGAATTTAGGTAACATTTGAGTTCATCCTTGAAATAACTTGCCAAACCTAATCTTGGTATGCTGTCTATAAGGCGTAGAATTGACAATTTACCAGTACTGATCGCGTCCACAAACATCCACTTTAGTTCCTCTTTTAGTTCATTTGCTTGTCTTGCGTAGTCTTCCTCCTACCAAAAAAAAAAAAAAAACACACGTACTCTAATCGGTCAAATTAGCCTCGTTTGGAAAGGGGGAAAAAAATGTCATGAATAAAATGAATGGACGTAGTTAATTTACAGAGTATATGCTACTGGTAAGAGATTGTAACGAGTCATAGTTCCATATGTTGGGCTTGTAATTTGCATTTCGCCTTTGAACACTAAGTTCTGTTTGGGCTACAGGGCTCCACAAATTCAGCATTTGGCCATTCATTTTTTGCCAAAAAGAAAAACAAATATGAGATCAATTGGAATGGCTATTGATTACTAGTACGTAAGGATCAATGGTTTTAATTAGTTCAACAATTATATTGATACATGGACCAACTTATATAGAAATATAGGGGAGTTACGTTACTATCGTGACCTACTTTAAGGTTTCGGGAACAAACCTGATATTCCTTTCAAGGTTTTATAAAGATTATAGCCACCAATTTCTATACCTGCCAAAATATCAATAGTGATCAGTAATTAACCAAACTATTAATCTGATGTTTGATTTTTTTCCGGGCACTTCGTTGTCCTCGATACTAGGGGTATATTTAACTAATTTTTTGCGTATTTTTTTAGGTATTTTTTTAATTAATAATATAAAAAGATGTATCAAAAATGTAATAAATATATTGGGGGGAGGGGGGGGGGATTATTAATAAAAATATTTTAAAAAATCATTTAAAAAATGAACCATAAAGTTGGATCTGCTCTGTAAATACGAACCTACTTAACTGATCAATCTCACTTCAACAATTCGCAAACGGTATATTGAATGAAGCTTTCAAAGGGTTATGGTGTCTTGTTACAATCATCTGAATAGCTTTCAAGTCGTGTGTTTAGGCAATGAGTTTCTTTACCCCATTTTCATGCAAGCTTCATGTAAGTTTGCCCAACAAAATTGCATCTTCGCAAGCAGTGAACTACTCAAGGGCATTTGATAATATCTAGCTCGAGTGGAGATATCCATTGAAAACCCTTCAAGCCCATTAGTTTTTACTTAAATTTGGTACTCATTTGAGGTCATTGTTAAAGCATAGATTTTGTCATAATATATTATGGTATTTTGTGTTTGTCTTTTATTATCATTAGGCATTATTTTTCTAGCATATAAATGCCATATCTACCTATGTTTAGGTAATGGCAGAATATTATTCACTTCTAATTTAATAGAATGTCGACTTGAAACACTAACATCAGAAACCACCTTGGCGATTTACCTAACATATCATCTGGATTACCTAGGTTACCCTGATTCGTACTATTACAAGCAAAACATAAGGAGATTAGTGGGTAACTTAGTTGGTTGACTTAGTCCCTAATTTGTTTGGTTTTTTAGCACACAAACCATTTTCTTTATTTTCAATGTTTTGCTTTCTTTATTTTTATAAGTCCGTGACTTTAGTGTAGTTTTTATCTTCTAGTTGTGTAAAACTTATAAATAAGTAGTTTTAAGGAATGAAGAATAAAATAGTTTGAACCCTCTTCCAAGTCTAAAATTTTCTTATCACTTTCTAAATTCTTTTTTTTTCTTTTTTTGTCCCCGGTTAGATTAATTTCCAACATACATGCCACTCCGGTTTATTCCGTAGGTCCGCGGAATGTCGAAAGCAACATTATATGGGGACAAACCAAATGGAAATAAGGTTTCTAACAACCTTCAACGAGAAACAAATTCTTAAAAGTAAAATATATTCGGTTTGGTTATACTTAAATTATGTCTTATAAATAAGATTATTAGAAGGAATACCATGATAGAGGATCACCTTAAGATCTAACGATGGTATAACTGAACAAATGGACGACCAGCAGTAAGTCCAACACTACTTAGATAATTCAATCATCGAGGAAGACTGGAGACGAAGAGTGTGCGCGCGCGCGCGCGCGTGTGTGTGTGTGGTACAACGGAAAGTGTCTTCAATTCATTTCGTTGTCAATTGAAAATGATCTGAAAATTATGGGAAAAGAAAAAAAGGGTACTTGGCGGTCATAATAGCCTTAAGTTTATATTACGACTCTTTCTGCCTCAGTAAGTTGACATGTTAATTAAAGCCCAACTGTTTTTCGGTGAAACATTAAGTATTTCAAAGTAAAATGCCACAATATCTATGATTGCGCTAGCCATCTCTGAATGGAATTCATTGTGCTCCTTAATTTCAAAAATAGGATTGATGTTTTAAGAGTAGTACTATAGTACTATTTAGCTAAAATTTCAGAGTATAAATTCATTCAAAAATCCAAACCATTAGATCACAATTGTCTTCAAAGCATAAATAAATATTCTTAAATGTTTGGATAATTTATTGTACAAGTAAGATTGCTCTAACTTATAAAATAAACAAAGTTGAGAGAAATTGTATAGTGCTGTCAACTAAATGTTTAGCACTTACATGTCCCGTTCCTGTATACTTATGCGGCATACCTAATAAATGGAACCAATGATCTATTCAATGTATATATAGATCATCATAGCATTCTAGAATTGACGAATTCAAGATGGTTTAATTAACCATTAACAAAGACCCGGTGTGTGGAAATTTTAATGTGAAAATGATAGTGAGGAAAAGAAGTCAAGTTATAATGAAATGTGTTGATTAACCATTGCGAGCGTAATGAAATCAGAAGTCTCCCTTCGTTTCTGTGACTTCGAAATTCAGGCCACACGCGAAATGAATTTTTTTTTTTTTGGGGCCCCCTCAAGATAGTCGTTTTTTGTTTAGTTGCCCACAAGCTCAATTATGTAAGTACGGCCTTCAAATTACAAGTCAACATTTTCTTTTTCTTTTTAGTTTTTTTTTTTTAAAAAAAAACAAACAAGTCAACAATATTCTTATGAAGAACGATGTTGCACAAAAGTCCACTAGGGGAGTTTGCATTAGTTGACAACTTGGTTCTCTTTAGCTGACGGATGTTGATTAAAAATGTATATACAAAATAGGAGGTTCATAATAAAAGATTAATGCATTGCTTTACTATAACTTAAATTTATATGTTTTCCATATTTACAGAGTGATTATCGTCATTAACAGTAACTAATATATCTCTCTCGTTGTATTATACACAACTAGATGAATACATAGTCAATACATTAAAGAAAATACACACGAATTCTTTTCTCCTCACTTATATATGTTGTAGTTATTTGATCACCATATATGTACAACAAGTAGAAAGTGAGCATAATTAACCGGTTCCAATACCTGAAAGGGGCATACGATGCAACTGTAAATTAAAAAATTTATTGAAAAAATTTTACTTCTCAAAATAAATTTGGTCGGATTGAAGGGGATTGAATATATCTTATTATGTATCTACTCAAATTAAAAAAAAAAATGTTTCATTAAATCTTTTTTACAAGGCAAAAACATGACGGCCGCATTAGACTTCTTTTCATTCCCTGCCGCACTTTGTACATATTTCCTGCCCTTTTGTTGCACCAATAAAAAATTAAGGAGAAAAAGAAAAAATCAGAATAGCCATATGGCCATATATGTGACTAAATCATATGGTTAAACGAAGGCCATTCAGTAAGGGAAAAAACACTCAGACAAAGGCAGGTCCCTTTGGGAAAAAATCTCCCTTAATCGCATTTTAAATGCTGACACAATAAATACTTTTTTTAACTCCAACACCAAAACCAAACCCACCCTCTCAATTCTCAAACAAAAGAAGTCAACAATGGCCAGCATTACATTTACATTCATAACTATATATACCCAAACTATACCACAATTGAACCCACAAACATTTCCATTTTCCATAAGATCAAATTTACGTATAGCTAGCTAGCTATCCATTTTATACCCATTTGTTTCACTACAAAAATCACATAATTGTTTCTAACTACACCTTTTGGGGTGCATGGCGGATAGGGATCAAGTTAGGCCGCTAGCTCCAGCGTCAGAACGGCCAACAAGCAGCGACGATGAAGAATCTGCCGCAATAAACACAAAAGGGTACTTAAGAAGGAAAAATTGCATCAAATGTTGTGGAGGCATTTCTGCCATTTTGATCATCCAGGCAATCGTCGTAGTCATCTTGATCTTCACCGTATTCAAAGTCAAAGACCCCGAAATCAACTTAAAGGGCGTCACGATCGATAAACTCGACCTAGTCAACGGCACGACGCCCCGTCCCGGCTCCAACATGACCTTAACGGCTGACTTGGCCGTCAAGAATCCGAACTACGCGAGTTTCAAGTACGGCAACACCACAACAACGTTGTATTATCACGGCACGGTGGTCGGAGAGGCGAGAGGGCCGCCGGGGAAGTCGAAGGCGAGGCGGACGGCAAGGATGAATATCACCATCGATTTTATTACCGATAGGCTGATTGGACATCCGATGTTGAAAGTTGATGTGGGTTCTGGTTTGCTTCCCATGACAACTTTTTCTAGGGTTGGTGGAAGGGTGAAGATGCTCAAGATTATTAATAAGCATGTTGTTGTGAAGATGAATTGTAGTGTCAGTGTGAATATTACTTCAAGGACAATTCAAGATCAGAAATGCAAGAGGAAAGTCAAGCTCTAAGAATTATGTCTATGTAAGTCATACCGATAATCTTAATGAGATCTTAGTGTAAAAAAAAAAATTACGACGAATGATGGGACAATTATAGTGATGGGTATATTTTTATTTTATTAATTTACATCACATTAGTTATTATTTATAGTGCGATTAAGAAGATTATATCTTTCTTATATTGCGGTTGGGGACGAGATCGATGTTTCATATGTTTATACGCTTTTTTTAGACTTTGACTAGTGAGTATCGAGTTGCTGAAGGAGGGTTTTTGTTTCATAGTACTGCTCTCTTAATTTTGATCGAATTTTGTCTACATATATTTGATAAGGAGTTAATTTTTGGCTAAGTTGCGTGTTTTGGTTATGACTTTGCGCTTTAGGTCGAACTAATACATGTTCAATCATATGTTATTTAAACTTTTTTTTATGGGGTTGTACTTTGCATACTTTGTTTTGTAATATTTCTTGGATTGAGTTCCATATAAATGGTATACTGCCATATATAGAGAACGTGAACTTTTTGTTGCTTTTATATGCACTTATATCATAATCCCCATAGCCAGCACGTGGATTTTCCCGAAGGATTATTATTTCTCTTCTTTGGAATTGGTAGTAGCTGCTGAGACAGGTATGCTCTGTGGATGATTTATAATAGTTCACACTGAATTTTAATTTTCATATTATTTTTAGTATAAATTTTAAAATTTAATATGAAATTTTTTTAAAAGGAGTAATAAAATATGAAATTTTTCATCATCAATTCATGACCTAATCTACTTACTGCTCACTAATTAAGCAGCATTTTCTGACTACATTAATTAATTTGTTTACCGAAAAAATAAAATGAGGTGCCATTTAATTGTTTATTACATGTACATACATCCTTATTGATCGAGTCACTGTCAGTAATTACGTTACTTGAATAAATAAATAAGTGATTAGCTTAGGTACCTCTCAGGTTAATTAATGTGAACTAAAGAAAAGAAAATATGATGGTACATATGAACCACTGAATTAGTGCGATGTGCCAAAAATTTTATGGGCAGCAAGTTTAACCATTAATTTAAGCTGAGTTCTCATCAGTCAGTGAATGCAACCTGAAATTGATGGTTTTATCATTGACTTGGACATTTACATTTATTTACCTATGCATACATATATAAGCGTGCTAAATTACCGATTCAAGTTAGTTTACCTAGCTATATTCACCTCGCGTCCATTGGACGGAAATGGGAACCAAGGGAAATATGCTTGAGAAGAGTTTACTTCCATCGTCCAATTAAAATAGTATCTTTTAATTAGCCCACCTTTAAATAATGATGAAAATAAAATCGTTGTCTAGAAAGTAAAAGCGGGAGCGTGTTTAGAATTTTTTTAGGAAGACAATGTCACAACTCACAAAGCTACAAACCACGTACAGAGCCGTAATCATTTTCTAATTTTGTTTTATTCTTTAATAAAATGGCATTTTTTCAACATTTTTACCTTCAAATTCTTACTGATAATCTGATTAATTGACATTCTCTCTCGCCCTTAGCATCCAAACTAACACATCCTAAAGTATTGTAGCTTAATTTTATTTTTATTTTTTTGGTAAAACTGTGAAGTTTTTATTGCTTTCAATCTAAGTAACTATACATATTTACATTTTTTGATCAACTACATAAGCTTAGATGAAAAGATTAACACCTATTGACTGCAGAAAACTCTGATCATTCCTTTTAATCTTCCTAATATGCATCTGAAGTTTCCAAATCAACTCAGCATTCACTTCTGGCTGAGTATTTCTTCCCACATTCCCTTGCCACTGATCATTTTGCACCCCATTTCTTAGCATATCCCTAACTTTCAACAATTTCTTCAGGTGCCAACTAATCCTGAGGTTGCTTATAGTCCCATACTTTCCTATTTTTTAGATAGTAAGCATGCCTCAACTTGATCCAAAGGCTTTCCTTATTCTAGGCCAAATCCCACGATTATTTTCCAATCAGTGCTAAAATCCATCTTTCAGGCTCTCTAATATTCAATCCTCCGTCCTGTTTTCTGCAACAAAGATTATCCTAAGCTACCATTGCCCAACTTTTCCCATTCTCTTTCTTTTCCCATAGATAGTTTCTGCAAGCAGTAGTTACTTGTTGGATCACACTTTGAGGAATTACAAAAATGCTGGCCCAATATGAGTTTAGACTTAGAAATACTGTGTTCACCAGAAGTGTTCTGCCTGCATAAGATAGATTCCGGGCTGACCAACTCTTGATCCTAGCAATGACTTTCTCCACCAACACTTGACATTCATATTTGGACCAAATATTTGAAGGAATTGGCATTCCAAGATACTTCATTGGAAATTGGCCTATTTCAAACTCCATTGTTTGTTGTATTTTTTCCTCCACTGCTTCAGTTTTGCCTCCAAAGTACAAATTTGACTTACCAACATTCACTGTAAGCCCAGTTGTACTAGCAAACTGATTCAAGACACCTTTGATCTTCCTTATTGTGTTAATCAGCTCCACAAAAAATAAGTAGGTCATCTGCAAAGGAGATTGAAGTGATCTGAAGTTTCTCACTGGGTGATAGACAAATTCTCCCTTTGCTCACCTCCATTTTTATCAATCTTGTCAAGTACTCCATAACTAACGCAAACAACAAAGGAGACATGATATCACCTTGTCTCAAACCCCTTCTACTAGGAAAATATCCAGTACTACTTCCATTTATGTTCAAGGAGTAGGAACATGTTGTAACACATGTCATAATCCAATTGATGCATCTACTAGGAAATCCATATTCCTTAAGCATTTCACTAATAAAGTCCCAATGCACTGAATCATAAGCTTTTTCAGGTCAACCGTCATTACATAGCTTGGAGCAGTATCCTACCTCCTATACTATCTGTCAGCTCTTGAGCCAACAATATATTATGCAAGATAAGTCTTTGTTGTATAAAAGCCCCCGGATTAAGATCAACCAAATCTAGAAGTACTTTGCTCAATCTTTCACACAGCATTTTTGAGATACACTTATACAAAGTGTTACAACAAGAGATAGGCCTGAATTTAGTTGTATTTTTTTGGGTGGTCTGTCTTTGGTATCAAAGATATCAGAGTGGTGTTTAATTGCTTCAGCAGTTTTCCAGTCCTGAAGAACTCCAGTATTGCTTCACTTATATCATTGCCAATGATAGGCCAACATCTTCTATAGAAACCACTATTGTATCCATCTGGACCAGCACTTTTATTCACATCAATGTCAAAAATAGCTCTTTTAACATCAGCAATGGTAAAATCTTCAGTCAGGAGTATCTGCTGGTCTACAGTCAGTTTGAATCCTGAACTGAAGACTTCACTTCTTGCTGATGTTCTTTCTATCTCCATCCCAAGCAAATTTTGATAGTAATCTAGAAAATGCTTTTCAACTGTTGGCCAATATTCTATCACTTGTCCTTGATCATCTATAAAAGATCTTATTCTGTTTCTGTTGGCCTTTTGTTTCATGCTGGCATGAAAGAATTTAGTATTCATATCCCCTTCCTTCAACCATTTTTCCTTCAACTTTTGCCTCCAAAAGCTAATAACAGCTTGACTGTTTGCCTTATGCTGTTCTACTAGACTTTTTTCCTTCTGTTGCAGATCTTCATTAGTAGGATCATGCATCAATTCCAGTTGAATCTTTTCCATTTGTAATCTACATTCTCGTTCTTTTTCTTCTATATCTGAAAAATACTCGTTATTTAGCCTTTTCAATATTGGTTTCAAGAGCTTATGATTTTTCACCACTTGAAACTACTTACACCTTTCACTGATTCATTCCATGCTTCATTCACAATCCCCTCAAACTCATTATGTTCCATCCGCATATTGAAAAACTTGAATGATATTTTTGTTACTTGGCATGTTTCCTCCCATTTGATCAACAAAGGACTGTGATCAGAAACACCAGCAGGCTGGACAGTAACAAAACTATCTAAATATTTGTTAAGCCATTCATAGTTGACCAGAGCTCTATCAAGCTTTGCCATGATCCTCATATCACCTAACTGTTTATTATTCCATGTATAAGTGACACCATAAGTTTCCAATTGCCACACTTCACATTCCTCCATCATTCTTCTAAACTCATTTGTATCATTACTCAGCTCATTCCTGCCTCCCAATCTTTCTTCTTTCTTCAAAATACAGTTCCAGTCCCCAATCATCACCTAAGGTCCTTGTACTTCTGAATAAATCAATTAATTCATCCCACAGTGGCATTCTACCTGAGACTGTATAATCAGCATACACCACAGTCAAAGTGAATTGCATTCCTTGGTCTTATACCTCACAGTGTATATACTATTTGGCACATTTCAGCAGCTTCATTTGATATACCCATTTTTTCCACATTACCAGTATTCTCCCTTTTTCCTTATCACCATGATTACTATAATAATCAAAGTCTTGCCACCTGTTTTTCATCAGTTCTTCCACTTTTTCTCCTGTTAACTTTGTTCCAGAAAACCAGCTATCCCAACCTTATTCACACAGAGTTGATTGGTTATTTCCCTATGTTTTAGGGGACTATTAAGTCTCCTTACATTCCAGCTTCTTAGATTATACATAATTACTAGGCCCTGGATCAGGGGGGCTAGCATCATTATAACATATAGTGTTTACTGACTTCAATTTTTCACAAACTCTACTATCAGTAATCTTCCCTCATTTATAGTTCAAAATTTGAATGTCGCCACTGTTATTACTCACTGAGTTCTTCATTTCCCCTGATACTGCTTTCTTCTTACCAACCAGGCCCATAGTTGCAGCTGTACCACTCTTCTATACTACCTTCAACCCAGTACTATCATCCTTGCCCTAACTATGATCTGTGAGTTGATTATTCTGGTCCACATGTTATGCATTAGTTTTCACCTCTGCTTCATCAGGTTTCAAGTTCTGAGGTTTCTTGAGCCACTCTTTTTGCACTGGAAATCTACATTTCTCAGTATCATGTCCAAACCCTCTACAATACATTTTACAGGCATCCATTCATACTTGACTGGGTGCTCTTGTAAGTTCCAAGATTCATCTTGAAACCAGACAAATTCCTGCACTTTTTCTTTAATTTCCACCTCCAAAAGGACTCTGGCAAATCTTGTTCTCATTTTTTGTGCAGTCATATCATCCATTTCAATGGGCTTTCCAAGTGCACTAGTGATACGACTCAAAGTTGTGGCATTCTAGTATTTCAGTTTCAGTTTTGGTAGTTGAATCCAAACTAGAACTTTTAGTACCTCATCCATAGTTATTTCATCCTCCACAGACCAGTCCTTCACTATGAATGGTCTACTATCAAAATGATATAAAATGTACTTTAACACCTCTTCTTTTGGTTCCATAGTTTTAAACCTCACAACATATACTCCATTCTCAAGCAGTATAACCTTGTCCACACCCAGTCTTCCCCAATTTCTACGTACAAATCCATTTATAACAGCAAACGGAGGCTTAGCTCCCAAGACAAAACAAAACACTG